GCGAAGAACGGTGAATATATGCAAGGCGTGCGGACGACGGACGGGACGTACAACTCTGTAGGATCGGTACCCTGATGCGCGACCACGACCGTGTTCTGCTCGGGCCAGTAGCCAACAAAAACTGAAACAGAGACTGTGAGTCGGGATGTGGAAGTAGCAGAAGAAGTAAATACGGACAGTATTGGACACTGTTGCCGTCGCCGCCAGTCAAGGTGGGCTGAAATCCGGGTAGCGCTGAGCAAGCCTCTGAGGAAGAAAATTTAAGCAACGCAGAGCACGAAGAGAACATTGGAACGCACCACCACACTGCCAACCTTCGACTTTGCCAGGCTCACAGTAAGCAGCGCGGGCAAACTGAGTAAAGGGCGAGTACGACGACAGCTGGCCGGTCGACACGGGAGTCACGTCGCGCTTGTTGAGATTGATGCGCTCTGGCGCGGGCGCGGCCAGGACGACCGTAGCCAGGAGGGGGGAAAGGAAAGCGAGAGGGAAGTGCATGGCGAGAAGGATCGACTTTTGAAAGATGGTTGGGCGTGATGATCGTGAGGAGAGACAGCAGAGACGAGAGCAGACAACGTAGAGAGCACCAGGCCCGGGGTCGTGACAGCAGACAAAAAGAGGAAGAGAAACGAAGGAGGATGAGGGAGACGGGTGGGCGGTGGTGGACTTTATACCTGTCAGACACAGGGAGGACTCGAGAACAGCGCCCTCAACTTGTTAATATCCCTGGGCGGTCTTGGCAAGATAAATGCGGATGATGAACGAACATCATGAAGGGCCTAAACAGAATATTTGACAGGGAACACCTAGGTGGTCGAGCAGGACAGTCCAGTGGGGTCATATGGCTCAGATTCGTGTGGTCGATCCAGAGTCCTTCTGCGTCGAGTAAGAGCCTTGAGTATGTTATGTATGTCCTTGCTGTCGGCTACGAGAGGAAGCCAGTGGTGGCCAGAGGACGTAGCAGTCGAGATGCAGGTCGAGAGAGATCACACAACAATATTGAACAAGACGCGCCCACCATCAGTTGATATCGCCTTGCCAGATAAATTGGCATTTATTACGTAATTTGTGATCTAGATCTTCGTCGCCGTCATCGCCGTCGAGTCTCGACCTCCGACTTGCCTCCAACCTCCTCCAACCTCCTCCAACTGTCCTACATCGGTTTCTACGCCGTGCGCGACGCTTCGTCTCTTCTCCACGGCACAAGTACAACTATTATACACGCCGTCTTTTCACGTTATTCTCGACGCGCTTTCCGGGTTTACTTCCCTTCGATAATAACAATCCGAACTTCCGTGCCCGACGATGAGCAACGGAAAGCAAAAGGCCCGAGCTTCTGCAACAGCACTGTACAAGGCTGAAGCCGTCAAGGTATGTCGCGACGTTTTGTCATAGTTTGCCTTGACATCCCAACCTCGAACCTAGGACGTCGCAGATGCACTCGGTATAGCCAACCTAAGCGACTCGG